GATGGATGATGGATGATGGATGATGGATGATGGATGATGGATGATGGATGATGGATGATGGATGATGGATGATGGATGATGGATGATGGATGATGGATGATGGATGATGGATGATGGATGATGGATGATGGATGATGGATGATGGATGATGGATGATGGATGATGGATGATGGATGATGGATGATGGATGATGGATGATGGATGATGGATGATGGATGATGGATGATGGATGATGGATGATGGATGATGGATGATGGATGATGGATGATGGATGATGGATGATGGATGATGGATGATGGATGATGGATGATGGATGATGGATGATGGATGATGGATGATGGATGATGGATGATGGATGATGGATGATGGATGATGGATGATGATGGATGATGGATGATGGATGATGGATGATGGATGATGGATGATGGATGATGGATGATGGATGATGGATGATGGATGATGGATGATGGATGATGGATGATGGATGATGGATGATGGATGATGGATGATGGATGATGGATGATGGATGATGGATGATGGATGATGGATGATGGATGATGGATGACGAATGATGAATGTTATATGATGGATGATAAGTGGATGTATGATGGATTATTAAATGATGAATGATTGGATGATTGCATAATGGATAATTGGATGATTAATTGACGGACAATTGAAGATGAATGATATGTCATGAGCAATGGATGGTGGATTATGAATGATGATGGATGATTGGCGATGGAAGATGGCTGATGAAATATGGATAATTGAATGATAGATTATAGGATGATTTATGATGAAGGAAGGATGATGGACGATCGAGGAAGAATGATGGAAGAATGATGGATGGATGATGGATTATGATTGATAATTGGATGATTGATAATTGGATGATGGATAATAGTTGATGAATAATTGGTTGATGTATGATGGATGATAAATGATTGATGATGAATGATAAGTGATGGATGATGGATGAGCAATTGTCAATGACGGATGATAGATGTTGACGAAAGACAGATGTTAAATGATGGATGACGGCTGATAGATAATAGATAATGGATAATTAGATGATAGATAATTGGATGATGTAAACTTGGATGATGGATAATGGATGATGAATGATGGATGATGCATGATGGATGAGCGATGGTCAATGATGGATGTTGACGGATGACATATGTTAAATGATGGATGACGGCCGATGGATAGTCAATGATGGATGTTGACGGATGACATATGTTAAATGATGGATGACGGCCGAAGGATAGTAAATGATGGATGATTGGATGATGGATAATTGGATGGTGGATGGTTGGTGGTAGATGATTGGGTGAAGGATTATAATGGATGTCGGATGAGATGTTGATGATGGATTATGATGGATGTTGAATGACGGATGTAAAGTGATGGATGACGAATGATGGAGAATAAATAATGGATGATTGGATGATGGATAATTGGATGATGAATGGTTGGTAGTAGATGATTGGATGATGGATTATAATGGATGTCAGATGAGATGATGATGGATGTTGGATGACGGATGTTAAGTGATGAATGACGGATGATGGATAATGGATAATTGTTTGATGGAATATTGACCTGGAATATTGATGGTTGATTAGATGGTAGATGATTGAATGACAGATGATTGATGACGAATAACGAATACCTAACCTGGGCGGCCTGAAGCCATCGTAGTTTGCTTTGAAAAGAACATTACATAAAATTATTAAAATTAAAAAAATTGTAACTAATTTACCTTACTTGTGTGGCCTGGAGCCATATACAGTAACCCGCTATGGCTCCAGGCCGCACAGGTTAGGTAAATTAGTTTAAGGTTTTTTTTTAAATTAGAATACTAGCATATTTTGTTATGCGTTAATTAGTCCCACTTTATTTATATTGGTCGCTAATTCTCATGTATTTGTCTCGGCGCAAATTTGTCCCGGGCGAAATTGTTTCGCGCTAAAATAGATCAGTTTATAAAATGTAAGAGAGACGGAGCTACACTTCAAACATTCTCTACGTAGGTGTCGTTGGAACATATCTTGTTCGTTTCGCGCTATTCTGTCTGCGCCATTTTGTCCTGCACTCTTTTATCCTGCGCCATTTTGTGCTGCGCTGTTTTGTCATGGAGCCAATATTCACACTTTTATTACTTTTTACCTAGTTTTGATTATTTTATGTATCTGTTCCACTACGTCAGTGTTATTTGGGAATATTTCAGTTGCAGTTTTTTTTGTTATTCCTGTTCTCAATACATTTAATATTTAATTTAACGTTTTTTTGCATTTAAAAATATCTTAAATAAAAATGTGTTTAATATATTTTATAAGTAAAAAATTAAAATTAGTTTTTATAGAATTAATTTTTAACCGACCTCAAAAAAAGAGGAGGTTCTCAATTCGTCGTAATATTTTTTTTTATTTATGTATGTTCAGCGATAATTCTATAACACGGTGTACGATTTCAATAAATAATTCTTATTTTGTTAGAAAGGGGGTACTTCAGGGGTGGTCCCATATAAATTTGGTTAAAATTTAATAATTGGGTCCATGAAAAAATCCTCAAATTCTTAATTTTTTATGTATATTTAGCGGTAATTCTTTACCACCTTGTCCGATTTCTATGATTCTTTTTTTGTTAGTAAGGGGGTATCTCAGGGGTGATCCCATATAAATTTGCTTAAGATGCGGTTATGGCATCTGCACGATTTTGAAAATTACTTTTAATACTTAAGTTTATTTAATAACAGAGAAACAAAAGTAAAACTCTCAGTAAATATTACAACATAAACATTTGTAATGACTAAAATTAAAACTAATAAAAGTTAATAATTAAAATAAATACTCTGTAAAAGAAAACGATAATAAATTCACTAAAACGAGGTACAATAGGTAATAAACTGGAAATTATGATTTGTTTGATGCGACTAAAATGCTAAATTAAAGAAGATACCACACCAAACTTATAGAAACATTATTTCAATCTTGTTTCCTTAAATTTTTTTAAACATTTCCTTATTTTACTATTTAACAAATTTTGGCATGAGTTATTGTTTCTTTAGGGAGACTTGACAACATTGCAGGATGCAGTAAAGTCGTGTTTATAAATATACGGAAGTAATATGGTTGCAAAATGTAATATTATATACTTCCTGGAATCAAAATAGTTAGCGAATTGAAAGGATGCAATATAGCTTCATAATGTAAAAAAACGTATATTTATTTTTTAAGATTTCACACTCAAAATTAGGTTCCTTGTATAATTTTTTTAACAGATTCAATATACGCTTTAAAAAATGCGCAAAACAGGTGTTTTCTGCAAGACGCAATAAGTGTGTTTTATGAAAGGAAGCAAAATAGCCGCAAGCTGTATATATATATATATATATATATATATATATATATATATATATATATATATATATATATATATAATTATAAATTATAAAAAATAATTTAAAAAAAAATTATTTCAAGAAACAATTATTTTAAAAGAACCCTCATAAATTGACAAACAATTAAAAAAATAAATCTTAATTTTACTTAAAACTGTACAATGAAACCAAAAAAATGTCCACGTCTAAACAATATTTGTTGAATTCAACGCACATTCTGTTAATTGGAAAATTTAAACCTAGATTAGTATTATAATGTGCAATGTAAAGCAATTGTCTGCTCTGAGTATTTTTAGGAGGAACATAAAATTAAATTAAATTTAATAAGTGCGGTGAATTAAATCGGTTATTTATAATTTTGTATAAGAATGTGAGGTCATTAATTATTCTGCGATGTTCCAATGGAATAATATGATACCGATTTTTAGTTCGCTCATATTGCTATCAACGTATACATTTGTTACTTGAAAATTTAGGAATTTTACGAAGTTATTTTAAAGCCTAGTTTTACACAAATTATAATTTGGATTCCATATGATGCTCGCAAAATTAAGCCGACTGTAGATATAGGTCATTTACTGAATTTACACCCATATCGGATTAAGAAATAAATAAAAGATTTGACTGGTCAGTTGTATTTTAAACTTTTACTAATGGGTGGCGTTATTTTGTATATTGCAAGGGGTTCTTATAGAAAAAAAATAAATATAAATTTTAGGTAGTTAATTTTGCCTCAGAAAGCTTAAAAGAGATAGTTACATGATTTTGTTGTTTAATAATAGTTTATTCAGAGCAAAAATTTTAATTTACATACACAGTTTTACCCTGCGATTAAGTAAGTACGATGATTAAAAATAACATAACTTTTAAAATTCTATATTAAACAGTGATTATTATAAAAAATAATTGTCTTTTGACATACCTTTAAATCTTCAGCATCACTCTCAAAATTTGTGTCACTAGCGTCGCTGTCATTATTAAGGGATATATTTATAGGGTTAATTTCGTTTATCCTGTTTTCACGTGTCCGCCAGTCGTCAATTAATTTATCACATTTTTAAACACTTTTTTGCCAAATTTCTGGGGTTGATGTATCCAGTGCTTGTTTCTATATTTTCCTTACTGCTTCGTCGCTGTAACCAATAATTCCAATACGATTGTCACAATACGTTTTACATATACCCCAAATGTGTTCGATGGGGTTAAACTGACAATGGTACGGTGGAAGCCGTAACACATCATGTCCATAACTATGTATGACTTGATCTATCATATAAATTTGTGGTGATTTATGCCGTTTGGCTAAAGTTAACAACTCAGATTTAAGGGCGTATTGTGGAAATGCAACATTTTCGTTACGTAGCAATTCTTGTATTTTGGCTACAGCCCAGTTCTGTCTTGGCGGTTTGTTTAAAAGTTCTGTGTGGGAATCTAAATTTGGAATATGTTTGATTCTGGAAGTATCATCTTTACGCATTAATATGTTTCCATTTTTGACCCATACATATTTAAAATTATTATCTTTAGACCATTGACGAGCTTCTCTGAACAAAGTTTTGTTGGCGGGAGTAAGATGCTCATTAATAAAAACAGTAGCTCCAACATCGTCGATCTTTAGCCCTAGACCGTTTGACGTACGTTTCTTCTGTTTGGCCAAAGCTAAAACTCCCAGAGCATCCACCACCTTGTTCACGATATTGCTAATATTTTCATCTTTTCTTTCAGGAACACCTTGAATCTCAATATTATTCAATCTTGAATATTGTTCAAAATCATTAAGTCGGCATTCTAAGGTAGTAACGCGCTTCTTTAAATCCTCATTTTCTTCTTTCATCACCTCAAATGTTTTCATGAAATTTCCAATTTCACATATAGATAATTGGAATTCATCAATTTTACCTGAACAGATTTGAGAAAATATACGTAATTCTGTTCGCATTTCCTTTATAAGCCCAGATACATTTTCATTATTAGAGTTCACTTGTGCGACTGGAAACCGTGAGGTGCCGACACTGAGTCGCTTCGTATCATCAATCGACCTACAGTTAATACATTTCCATTGAGAACCGGTAGTTGATATTATTATCTTGTATTATTTTGTACTCATTTTAACACATTTTAAATTGTAATATCCCAGCAAACATTTTGGTTTAATTTGACGTCGAGACTACCTAAAATATGTATACTAAATTTGGTCGCAAAATTAGATTTAACCATATTTAAGAAAAATTTACGTTATCTCGACGTGGATTCGACATAAGTGGAGAATAATACGACGTCGAAATTTGGTTTTATTGACCAAAATAGTTAAAATTATGCCTAAATCCACATTGTAGTAGCTTTCTACGTTTGGTTAGTAATACTTCTTTAGGGAAATTTGACGTCAATATAACGTCAATTCAACGTTGATTTAACTAGCTTTAGGTAGAACCTACAAATATTTTTAGATGACGAACGACTTTAAGTGCACAAAAAGATAAATTTTATGCTTATTTGGTATTTTTATCTATAGAAGTCGAAATATTGTAGAAAGTGACCAACAAAACTAAAACATATACTTAACTCACAGCAAAGATTGAAAATAAATAAATGTCGGTAACAACAATATATATAATATTTAATTACGACGAATCAATAGGTTACGTTTGTTAAAATTATTGCGAAGGAAATTTTGTCGTGAATGTTAACAGTTCTACTTTGAAAAATAACAATGCCCTTCCAAAATACTCTTTAATAACAAAAAATATAAGAAGAAATATTATGATTTAAAAAAATTATAACATTATGAGCTAAAACTATGTTACATTTGTTGTGTATCACTTTAGAAAATCAATAATGTTTTTTTTTGTAATTTTTATCCGTTCTTTTCTAGTTAAGATAATTTAAAAAATTTGAAATTTAGAATCGTATTTCAATTATGTTAAGAAAATATGGCGTATTGTGCTAATATGACTTAAAAGTTAATGAGACCATGAAAAACTACTTATTTTACAAATAGCTTTTGACTAAGTTGAATTACCTTAAATATAACGACATGTTAGTTAATTTTACCTATTTAAAGAATTAATAACTTGTAACTTCTATAAAAAATTTACCTGTAGGTAAATGTAACATATTTAGGTCATCCTATTTTTGGAAATGCTACCTATTAGTAAATTTCAGCCATGTTAAGTGTAAATTTTTATTTAACGTGTGTTGACAAATTAATTTACTGGATACTGGAGTAATTTGATTATTTTTCACGTTATACTGCACTTGAGATTTTAAACGTTTGACTTTACAAAAAAAATCGAAAGTACCTATTATGTATTATTTTTTGCATTTATTTATAGCTCTATCTATACGGCTAGAGAATTAAGTTTACCATTGCAACGGTTTTTAAAAATGGCCGAAATTCTTAAGAATAATGAAGAAGACAATAAGTGAACAACCTAATTGTTAAAATAACCTAAATAATATAAATTTTACAAATAGGTTGTGTATGGCAGGTTTTAAATTGGTGGTTTATAGTCGAAATTACTTTGTAGTAGATTTTTCAGGTAATTGCTACAATAAAGTTAATATTTATTTATTCAAGATTACTTTTTGGTCAACTAAATGAGTAATCGACTATGTAGAGTAAATAAAGCATCCAAATAGGTTACTTTACAGGTATAAAGTTACGAAAAAAGTTCAACCAAATCTACCTAGTAGGATATTCTACTATAAAAACGATTTTTAGTTGCCAAACAGGTTAATGCTACCTAATTATGATACCTAATTTTACTTTAAAGGAAATTTACCTATGAGGTAATTTTTGGTTATTTTTGTTAGTAGTTTTTCCCTTTCTGATTTACTTTTAAGCAGATATGTGTACGAGGTAGATTTCTTGGTATAATTTACGTAAATTTATACCTAAATTAGAACCATTTGGTAAATTTAAAGTACAGGTATATTTTTTTAGTCAATTTTACGTAATAATTACCTCAATAAGTAGATTTGACTTTTACCAAGTCGAGTTATAGCTAATAACATCGAAAATGTTTGCTGGGATGCTAGACACATATTTTGCATTTTTGTAAGAAATTGATAGAAATTGAAAACAATACGTACAGATTAAGATAGCTTCTAGTATCCTGGTTCAAATGATGTAAACTTTAGAAATAACAAAGACTTATTTACCACTTAAAACTTGATATAGACACTAAGCGATTTGAAACACGTTTACTTTTATACAGTGGTGTATTAAATTTATTTTAAATTGCCGGCACAACAGGAAGTGTTGGAAAACGAGAAAGCATACCTCCTAGCCAGAAAGAGGACTAAGAAAACTTTAACTAGTCCAGAACCCACATGTGGTATTTCATATAGATTGGACCTTCCTGGAATGAAGTAGTCTAGATTATTCGTGGACCGCAATGGAACTCTTTATGGGACAAATAAAATAAAAGACAAAATTCATTGTCTTTTATTTATTATATCATTTATTGGGTTTTTGGAGAAATGATATCATAATTTGGCTATTGTAGGAACTGAATTGGCGTCTTTTCAAATTTATTTACCATCTAGCTACCTTCTGAGCGACGTCGAAGGCCCAAAGGTTGACACTGAAACAACCGAAACTAATGTAACCAAAGTAGACAATATTTTATTGGTAATCTTTATTTTTTAAGTTCAGTTTAAGGCAGTTTCCCTCATTGGAAATTCCAGAGTTGATTTGGTAGGTTATACATCTCCCTTTGAAAAATATAAAACAAAAGTGACAATAAAATAAAAGAGAATGCACAAAAAATGTAGGAAAAAAATATATCGCTTTATAAAACTGCTATCAATATTTCGTAGGAAAAACAGAAAAGTATAAATCACAAAATAAACAGTATTTGCTTAGTTTTTGCAGGGTAGTAAAAAATATAGGGTATGTAGTAAATTTTGTATCCATAAAATAAAAAACATGGCGTATTGAACAGTGGTTCTATTTTTAAAACTTATTTGAATAGCTCGTTTGTATGTATAGAAACGAATATCATGACATGTTATGAGTCGTTAGGTTTTATTTACTTTTTTTATGCGGGACTTTGTTTTCCGTGTTAATGGCGCAGTAAAAGGGTAACACAAAATCTTTTTTCCACAGTTTATTACGAGTAATGAATTACATTTATAAATTGGATGGTGCTTAGAGAGACAAAAGGATATTTTATCTTTTACTGAAAACTACTTTGATTTATCTTTATCGTAAAGCTGCGACTTTCAGTCTGCTAGTATTTTGAATGCGTTTTATTACATTGTGGTAATAATTTTATCAAATAAATTGTCGTATAACCTTTAGTACGAATCAAAAAATAGGACATAACTGTTAATTTAAATAATTCGTCCAATACTAAAAAAAATTGTTAATTTAGAAATAAACCTAAAATGATTCATAAGTTCTGTAATGTTGGTTGCCTATATATAAAAGGGAATACAACAAAAATTCAAATCAAGTTACCCGATTAAAAATATTGACATTTAATTTATTTTGATATTTTTGAAAATTACAAATAATAAAATGGACACATAAAGTAATAGTAATAGTAGTGTTAATAATAAAGAAATAACAAATAACATTACAGCAGACTTATTGCCTCAAACATCGGCGAAAAAATAGAACTTAGATTATTCACGATTTACCTATGGATTGGCGCCAACAAAATAAGGTGACCCCTTGTTCTATGACTCCTTTTCAGAAAATATTTTAGTGGCTTATTTTGGGGAGCTATCGAATTCTTATAAATCTTCTACATTATGGTCAGTTTACTCGATGTTAAGAACTACATTGTCAATAAGGCAAAATGTAGATATTTGAAAGAAAGTCTGAAGAATATGTAGCAAAATACTTACACCTAAACAAATCAACCAATTTTTAAAAGAAGCTTCTGATCATGTTTATCTACTTATGAAGGTAAATAATGTAAGCGATTAATATTTTTATATTAAATGGAATTTAAGAAAAATATAGTTTAGTGAATTATTAAACAAAATGAATAGTGATAATAATTTGTTTTATTTGAGGAACAAACAGGACAAACTGGGACGGTATTCAGAAAAAATATAAATAAAAAAGGTGAAAACTGGGTAGATATGCTACAAATTCCCAATATAACAAACAAAATACATTAATAAATTATACATTTTAAAAGTTAAGTTAAATTTGGATCAGAGAAAAGAAAATATGTTAGAAATTTAAAAACAATAATACATATTTACTACCTCTTAATATTTCTAATTTTAAATCGTTAAAGTCCATAAAACTATTTTAAAAATATGTAATATGTGTTTTAGTCATTGTGATCGTAGAAAAAGTATAGCGTGCCACTCGTGCAGAAAACCTATTCCACACTCGTGTGATTGTGGCGTTCACTCGTGTGGAATTGGTTACTTTCTGCACTTGTTGCACAATATACTATTTCTCCATAAAAATTACTAAATATAATTATTTCGAAATAAATTTTAATAACATAATGCGAACACCTTTACAATTGAGATTGGAAAAATATTTGAAACTTTTTAATTTTGTGTATTTTGCAGACATTTTGCAAGTGTTAGAATGACAATTTACCACCGGCTGGTAGGTAACCATGGATAGAAAGATGGCTGCCTGTTTTTGATGATTCCGTGAGATTCCTAATAATTAGAATAGCAAAGGTGTATTTTTAGACGATTTTTATTTTAAATACACGTACCTATTAAAATCAATTTTTCTCGTCGGTGTACGATGCACGGTTGTTGAGACACACCGCTCTCCGTCTTGATTGCGACATTCTGTATTCTATTTACACTATACAGTCGTAGAGAATGTACGGTTTGGTTATATCTGTTTATATAAAAATTTCATACTTGTTAGGAAATATACTAAACTAACCATCATATTTTTGAATTTATTTTTATTATAATTAATTGTAAATTTACAATCTCATTTTAACA